GGAAGCAAGCTAGAGAGCAGGCTTTAATAGAACAAAAGATTAGAGAACAGGCCTTAAGAGAACAAAAGATTAGAGAACAAAGAGAAGAAGCTAGAAAGGCAAACCAGTTTTTCTCCCAATACATTGAGTCTCTTAATCAATACTATGAAAATGTTCAAAAAGAACAAAGAAAGCAACAAATAAAACAAGAAAAGTTGAATAAAATCAGGAAAGAGAAGGAAGAGGAAAGAAGAAAGGCTGAAGCAAAAAGAGCTGAAGCAAAAGCTGAACAAAAAAGAGCTGAAGCAAAAGCTGAACAAGAAAGAGCTGAACAAAAGATTTCCCAAAGCCAGATAGGTGAGGCCAGAGCTGTCGAAGATACTTTGAGAAACGACTTTTTTGATCAATTCTTCGATGCCTTTGTCCAAATCAACTCGATCCCACATACCCAACAAAAAGAGTGTGAAAGAGCCTCTTACGAAAAAAGAGCTCAGTTGAAAAAACAAAGAGAAATTGAGGCTGCTGATCAAAAAAGAAGAGAAGAAGAACACAAGGCCAAAGAAGAAGCATTCAAACAAGAATTTTTGAATCACTTTTTCGGTGCGTTCGGGTTTCAACCAATTGAACAAGTAAATAAAGAATCTAATGATGAAGTAGATAACGCTAAGAAAGAAGCTGAAACTAAGAAGCAAGCTGAAGCTAAGAAAGAAGCAGCTAAGAAGCAAGCTGAAGCTAAGAAAGAAGCAGCTAAGAAAGAAGCCGAAGCTAAGAAAGAAGCCGAAGCTAAGAAAGAAGCCGAAGCTAAGAAAGAAGCAGCTAAGAAAGAAGCCGAAGCTAAGAAGCAAGCTGAAGCTAAGAAACAAGCCGAAGAAAACAAGCTGGCCGAAGAAATACTGAGAGAACAGATCAACCGTCTTGTTTCTCATTTCTTCGGTGGAATTCCTCTCGAATACGTCAGGGTGCCTCAGAATAACGACATAAACGAAAATTCTGCCAAAAAAGAAGATATTCACGAAAAAAGTGAATCAACTGCGGAATCTGATAATGAATCAGTAGCGTCCGACGATGCTGCATCCGTATCAACACAATCCACTTCAACTCTTGCCTCTCCAGAATCAAAGTTACACAAGCATTTATCTATGGAAGAGGTCGAAGATGAAGAATTTGCATCATTTAACAAGAATTTTATCAAGTAATCAGTATAGTAATTGAATAAATCATTATAATTTTATCATAATAATTTTGTACTTTAATATTGTAGAAAAATCGCACGATTCAAATTTCGAAATCCCTGGTCTTAAGTATTTAACTTCTTTTATAACTACATTAATACTCATAAAATGGCTTCAATTGGTAAATCTATAGCTATTTTTGGAGGCAATGGTTTCTTGGGAAAGAAAATATGTGAAACCGGAATAAAATTGGGATACCAGGTAACGTCATTTTCTCGCTCTGGGCAAGCACCAGCAGTTAGTTCTCCATGGGTTAAAGAAGTGAAATGGGAAAAAGCAGATATTTTTAACCCAGATACATACAAAGATAAGTTATCAAATGTTAACTCAGTGGTGCATTCTATAGGACTTCTCTTTGAAAATCAAAATTACAAAAAGACAGTGAATACAAATTTTAATTTTTTGAATGACGTGCAAAATTTAGCCAATATGGTAAAGAAACCAAACCCAATGGATAGGACCAGCCATAACACTTATGAGGGTATACAGAGAGATTCAGCTGTGATATTAGCTGATACATTTTTGAAGGTCCAACCAAATAATCCTTCATATGTGTATATATCAGCAGATCAGAAGATACCATTTGTCCCATCGGGGTATATCGATACTAAAAGGGAGGCTGAATTTGAATTGTCTTGTAAAGAAGGATTGAGATCTATCTTAATGAGGCCAGGGTTTATGTATGACGAATCAGAATCACATTCTCTCAATAACCGAATGTTATTGACGAATCTTCTAAAGTTGGGCTATGATACTAAACATTGTATTCTCGGAGATCATATATCATACTTGAATAAGTTGGTTAGACCTCCTATATCTACTGAAAAGGTGGCACGAAAACTATTTGAGAAGTTAGAAAATGAAACCTTTAGTGGAATAGTTACATTGGATGAAATATATAAGCATTAGGATGTATATTCATGACTGACTATATTAGCATTAAGATATATTTATGAAAAATTTTATAAGCATTAGCTGTATACTTATAACTATATGTATTTTGTATTATTCTTACTAGGCATTTGAATCAACTTTTCTTGAATAACTTCTAGCCATTCTATTTCCAAAGTTGATAATTCCAACTCTGTAGGAATGTTAATCTGATTGCAATTAATGCCAATCGTATGCGAATGCGGTGTAAAGCTTAATCCATCGTTTGTAGACTTCACAGGCTCTAACTTCATATCTACATTAGTTTCTGCTTTGTGCTGTGGTAAGCCTGCATGCCACCAATACATAGGATACTTTCTAATTAAATTCCCTGTAATTAGGGCCACCATCATCATCAACAATGATGAGATAATCTGAACCGGTATGTACCACCAACTCATCTTCCGTATCTGGGCATCTATTGAAGGCAATAGAGCCGACGATCCGGCGGGTGGATGAACACAATTGCAAATTAACATCAATACCGATGAAACGGCCACGCTTAATGCTCCACTAGCCCAGTAATGATCTCTTCCATTACTTGACAATCCAAATAGTTTGGCTATTCCCATTCCTACAATTGAAGATATTATTTGCCCAAAAAGCACATTCCGTGGTTGTGCAAGTGGTGCTGTGCTAGCATTAAAACATAATATAGCTGCCGCTCCATAACTCGCTATAATCATGGGAGCATTATGATCACTAAATACTGTATGACTCTTGAAAACTCCTTCTAGCAATGCTATGCCACAGAAAGTCGCTATGAGTATTTCTAGCCATATCCAATAATCTGCGACTGGACTTGGATTATGATTTCCAAAAAATCTTCTGACATGACGGGGAAGTCTATACGTCTGATTATTAGGAATAAACCTATCCAACACCTTATCTATAGTGAACTTGAAAACCATATTCTTTGAGATTATATTATACTAACCTTACTAGGTTCAAAATTTTATACTGATATTATTATTTTTATATTTTCCTCTAGATATATAAATGACTCTTAAAGCCGCCAATGCGAGATTTTTAGCTCTAAAATTTTAATTATCTCGGATACTGTCGAATTTACGTAATTCACATTGTATAAATATGCTATATAATAAGAATATGGAAATACTACGAACAGACTCTATGGGCTAAACACCGCAGTGAAAGCCATTATTGTAGGCATTTCTCCTTCTGAGGAAATATTTTCTAGCTTCATCAGCAAAGAATACAGAACTCGTCAAACAAACAAGATGAACCAAATCAGTAAAATACAAAGCTTCGGTTTGGAATATTGCCTGGAAGAATGGAACATAAATTGCACAGAATTGACCAATTAACGAACCAAGCACAGCGAAGTTAAACATCTGATTTTTCATACCAATTTCGAAAATCGACTTTGAGTAATGACGGCAAGCTAAGGCATTGAACATGTCAAACAAGACAAAGCATGTGAAGGTCATAGTGGTATCTCTGGCAGTGATTTCATTGTCGGTCATTTCCTTAACGAATATGTACAATGTACCAACGATAATCATAGCAGCTGATTGTAATACCCTCTTGAGAACGTTGTCGGTTAAGATTCTGTCGTTACGTTTTCTTGGTGGTTTATTCATGACTTCGTGATCCACAGGCTCAACACCTAATGATTGTGCTGGGGGTCCGTCCATTAAAATGTTAATCCACAAAATTTGCATAGCATTAAGAGGGTTTGGTAATCCAAAGAAAGTGGCCAATGCAATTAATGTCAAGGCCGCAATAGATGTAGACAATTGGAAGGTGATGAAGTTTTGAATGTTGTAGAAAATCCCCTTACCTTCTTCGATTGCAGATAATATCGTGGAAAAATCATCATCCGTCAAAACCATATCAGCAGCCTCCTTGGCAACATCAGTACCGTTCTTACCCATTGCAATACCAATATCTGCCAACTTCAATGCAGGTGCGTCATTAACACCATCACCTGTCATTGCAACAATGTCACCCCTTTTCTGAAGTGCCTTGACGATCAAAACTTTATGCTCAGGGGTGGTTCTTGCAAAGACCGAAATATTATGGATTGCTTCAGCCAATTTTTCCTCATTCAAATTATCCAATTGATCTCCTGTCATGACAGAACTTTCATTCAAAACAGGAATTCCAATCTGTTTGGCAATATTAATTGCAGTGGTAGCAGAGTCCCCAGTGATCATAACAACATGTACTCTACCTTTCATCAACAATGAGATAGATTTTCCAACATTTGGTCTTGGTGGATCTTTCATACCGACCAATCCACAGAATATTAAATCCTTTGGCTCATTAGCATCATTACCGTTATTGACAAATTTTAAATTGTTTCTTGCTAATCCCAAAACTCTCAAGCCATCCGAAGCCAATGCATCAGACTTTTCCGAGATTAATTTTTTAATTTCATTTGTCAAAGGTTTGACCTCACCATTTTCGTCATAGTATTTTGAGCAAAGTGAAACTATTCTTTCAGAAGCACCTTTAGCGAATGTCTCAGACTTGTCCATGTCACCAGTATGAACACATACTGCCATATACTTTCTAGTAGAAGAAAATGGCAATTCATAAACCTTCTGCTTAGTAGCTCTCAAATCTTCCAAACCAAAATGAGGCAAGCACTCAACTAGAGCAATATCACTTGGATTACCAACGTATTTTTCATTTTCTCTGGAGTATCTAGCATTATTACAAATATTACCAGTTTCTAAAATTTTATGCATATTATCAGTTAATTGGTGGTGTAAGCTGTTGTCATCTAGTTTCTCAACAATTAAGAATGGACTGTTAAAGCTTCCTTTAAAGTCAAGTGCCCATATTTTTGTAACTGTCATATGATTTTGGGTTAATGTTCCAGTCTTGTCCGAACAAATAACGTTCACACTTCCTAAAGTTTCGACACTAGGTAATCTCTTAACAATAGCCTTATGACGAGCCATTCTTAAAACACCTAAAGCTAAAGTAACAGTAACAATGATAGGCAAGCCCTCAGGTATGGCGGCAACAGCCAAGGATACAGAAATTTGAAACATATCCAACCAAGAGCGACCTTGAAATATACCAATCAAGCAAATAACACCAATTACTATAAAACTGAAAAGGGATAGATCTTTTCCTAATTTATCCATAGCTTGTTGCAAAGGAGTTTTAGGTTTCTCAATTTCAGACATCATTTCAAAGACGGCACCAAATTCAGTCTTGGCTCCTGTAGCCACAACAATACCAGCACCATGACCATCTCTCACCAATGTGCCCATATAGGCAATTGAGGTTCTTTCTGTGACAGGGATTAATTCGTTTTTGTTATTTTTTAATGTATCCGAATTCTTTCTTACTGGGCTATTTTCACCAGTCAAGTTACTTTCATCGATAGTCAAATAGGTGCATTCAGTTAATCTGATGTCAGCCGGAATTCTATCACCTTGACTAAAATGAACCAAATCGCCCGGAACCAATGTTGACGCTAAAACGTGAGATGTACTGCCGTTTCTAGTTAATTTGGCTTCTGCTGGAACTAATTTATTCAACGCCTCCAATGATTTTTCTGATCTATACTCTTGTACAAATCCAACAGTGACAACAATAGTGATGGCCAACGTAATAGAAATAGCATCATCGACATTTCCCATCCAGAAACTGATGGCAGCAGATCCTATTAATAACAAGATTAATGGATCGCCATAGAAACTCGATAAAAACTTCTTGAAAAGACTTTCATCCTCTTCGCCAGTAAGTTCATTAACTCCGTGAAGCGATCTTCTATTCAATATATCCTGGTTGTTATTTAAACCAGAAGTTATGTCTGTTTGTAATTCAGATTCTGTTTCCTTAATCGATAATTGGCAATATTTAACCGATGGTGAACTGGCCCGAGTGGGCGGAAGCGACCCAAGATTTATTTCAAACGGATTATCACTCATTCTAAATTATTAGAGTCCAATCTGAATAATGCAAGGATAATGAAATAATATTTATACAAACAAAAACAAAAGACAAAAATAAATGAAACCCAATCTATCTATTTAAACCACTTTAAACCTAGCAAGAAGTGTATGTGAAGTGTTTAGGTAAATGCGATGATTTGTTTTTATGACAAATCTACGAACTTTCAATAATACAAATCAAAAATCCTAAATAGACTTCCGTAAATCTCAAGCTTCTATCTCTTTATATAGACTAATATGTCTCTATAATATTCCACGAATCCTTGGGTGGCTTTCACTTACGATCCTAATGAAATTTTTAAAAACAAATTTTTGTTACTTCTACGTGTCTTTACAGGTTAGATTTGAAATTTGCACATTTATTCATTAGTAGTAACATATATACAATTATTTACCATTTATCGTCTCAAAAGCAGCCTTGGATAGTCTATTCATGACGGCTAAGCCTTCGTCGGTCTCATCTATGCCTTCTACAAAAATTATGTCTACTCCGAGTTCATCAACTTGTCTCAATAATTTGAATAAGTTCCGAGATATTTCTAGACCAGTTGCACCCAAATCTTCCTCTATATTTATTTGATGACTTATGGCACTGGCACTTGTAAAGGATTTAGACTTAAGCAACGCGATTGTTTTGGACTCAGGGATCTTGTTCTCGGATATGTACTTGTTGACCGCATTAATGCCATCGCCGCAGTTGACGAATAAAACTACTTTGGCAGTTGGAGAATAGTGCTTATATTTCATGCCAGGAGTTTTGACCGCTTCTGACTTCCCGGCTGTCTTTTTTGCTAAGACTACGTTTTCCCAAGGACCGCATCCGGCGTTTCTGACCTCTTCCACTGAAACTCCGCCGGGTCTTAAGAGCATTGGAGGATCCACTAAGCCATCGACGACGGTTGATTCCACCCCAACATCGCACGGTCCACCGTCTATAATATACGGTATCTTTCCCTGAAGATCGTGATATACGTGGCTCGCGAGAGTTGGACTTGGTCTGGTGGAAGCGTTTGCTGATGGTGCCGCGAGTGGAAGATCGCTCAACGCTATTAAAGCCCTTGCAATTGGATGCTGTGGGATCCTCACGGCAAAGGTGTTCTGATTAGCTGTGACTATCTTTGATATTGGTGACCCTTCATGTATTGGTAACAAAATTGTTAATGGCCCTGGCCAAAACTTCTCTATTAATTTGTCGTAAATTTCTGGAATCTTGTAGTCTTTGGGTAAAATTTTTCGTTTTAATTGATCTATGGATGATACATGTACGATCAATGGATTGTCTGCTGGTCTATTCTTTGCTCTATAGATTGATTTTACTGATGCATCACTAAGTGCAGATCCTCCTAGTCCATAAACAGTTTCAGTAGGAAACCCAATAACATTTGTGCTATTAATGAGCTCGTTAGCTGCTATACGAAGACTCTTTTCTGTTTCCGGGTCAGTTATCTTCGGCAATATATCATTCTTGTTGAAAATGATGCTATCTTTATCAGCTCGTAAAATCTTGGTTGTGAACGCCATTTTCGATTGACAAGAACAAATTTTTTTCCTAGTGATATGTTTATTATACAACCAACAACGTGATAACATAAACTATGTTCTAATAGTCCTATCAACTTCAAGACTTCCATCTGTCTCATCTGATTCTCATCTCAGTCTGCAACTTTTTTGATATTCACGTGATGAGTTGTCTATAAAGTCAACCAAATGCTGTTGATGTCATTTCATCTTTGTATAGGAATGAATAGCTGAATCATTGCTTATATATATAGTTTTCTATTAGAATCTGGTTGTAAAAGAGAGAAATGACAAAGAAAAGGGAAAAAGTTTAGTATTTTATAAAAATTTGTGAAAATTTGAAAATTTATGCAGAATAAGACGTTTAAAACAAACTGTTAATATACAAATAATAACATAATAAGAGAGTGAAAATCGTACTATCTGGACTTCGATAGTTCTAATCCTGTAGTTAGAAAAATTTCGTAGCTAAACTTTGGGACAATTTTTTTTGTAGTTATTTTCTTACTTCAACTAGAAGCATTAAGCTTAACTTTGTTAAAAGACAAAATAATATTGAATTCAAATATCAGGATACAAGTACTTTGTATATTGGAATAATGATTCAACGTCGTTGGATCCAAAAAATATGAATTAAATGGCCTAGAAATATTTTGGGTGCAAATAATGCTTCGCATACTAAAAATGAGCCATCATATCAAAATCTTGATTATGCAAACATATCCAAATATAGCTTTAGATTGGCATAACTATAATTTGAATACTTAAAGGGTATGGTCCTGCTTTGTTTCAAATATGACATTGGCTGTGTTGGGTAGTTATACTAAGTATGTCTTATGCACCTTTAATTAATCTTGATGAGTTCTTTGGAATGCCTGATATTGGCCCAGATCAATTTCATCAATCTATTAATGTCAATGATGACTTCCTAAGTGAAGATTTCCCAGATTTTGAAACCATAGGTTATGAGGAGGACTTAGATAATCAAAATTGTCTAGGATTTCATAATTATAATAATAGTGGTGAGTTCCTTAACTATATATATGGCGATAGACGAGATTCTCATAATAAGAAGTTTGATGCTAATACCGTTAAAGATTTAATTGGCTACAATTCACCTAATTGGAGAAAAGAATGTACTTCTACCGACAATATAGATACATTAGAAAGGTTCAGAGCATTCAATGACTTAATTGGTATAGATAATCAAATTGAACAAAACGAATGCAATAAAGCATTTGAATTTGTCTCTAACATGACATTTAACACCGATAATATTGAATCTGACAAGGATTTTGTTAAACAGGGTCCACAAACATTGAAATTTGATTACGATAATATTAAAATCAATCAAAATGTGGTGCAATGTAAACTTGTTAATTTTGCAGCAAACTCAATTTCGGAATCAACTTTGATTCTAATTTTGAGTAGACTCAACAGAAGGAAAGAATCGGAAGAAGAACGTATCTTTTCGGTGAATAGAACTCGTTATACTAGAGCTAATATTGAGTCGCTTAGCATTTTGCACCCTAATGTGCAATACCAACGGAATGCACAATTTAGTATAGCGAAACCATATGAACCCGAATATATACGGGTTCAGATTAATCCACTAACTAATGCTCCATTTAATGAAACAAGGTGTGGTCTATGTCCTTATTGCCCGAGCCTAATTTTTAAAAACTTGAAAACCTCGACCTATGCTCAACATCTTTCTTTAACTCATGGAATCCAGACAGATAATTACATAACACCAAATCCATTATTATACGGAAGTTATAATTTGAAGAAGAACAATACAAATAGAAAGACGAGGGCACATATTTCAGAAAAAAATGGTGTAATTTGTCCAGTATGCCACGATATTGTAGAAACGGAGTGCTCAAAGACGACTGCAACTCAAAAGCCATTGAATAATTACCTTAGACATTTTAAAGAGAAACACAGAAAATGCAAAGAGAAGGAAGACCCAGTTAAATTTTTTTCTAAGACCTCTACAAATGAGCTGAAATTATTATTAGTGTGATCATTATTATGTTTTATATAAACTGAGATATAGAAATAAATACCTATATAATACACCTAAAAAGCAATATTCTCAGTTAAAATTTTCTTTTCGTCATCATCCAATAACTCATAGTATTTACGAAAGTTGCCCAAGTTTTTTGCAGTACATTCTTTGAAAAATTGAACTAAGATAATCTTTAAATCGTCATTACCTTTCTGGTCATCATACTCTTCATCATTGTCTGAGTCAACATATGATTTCAACTTCTCATAATTTGGTACCCCAATATCATCCATATCTTCCCATCCTTCATCATCCCTCTTATCTTCTACATCTTCTTCAGCTTCAGGCAAATAATCGTTAGCATTTGGTTGTTGACACTGAAAGTTCAATTCGCTGATTAAAAGCTTTAATATCTTTTGTGGGGCTGAAATTTGAGTGTACTGATCTGGCATAGCCTTTGTCATGGATCTTGTACGAATTAAGTCACCCTGATATGGAATAATATCGCCATCGACAATCAATGATTGGACACTCTCCGAATTTAGTGTAAAAATCTTACCTAAAGCTAAAGTATTTTGCTTGATTTTTTCATACCCTCTAGTTATCTCAAATGATTGGAACCATATAGGTAAAACAAGCGCAAGACCAGATTTTGTTTCGCCCGTTTTTGGATCTTCGAGCTTAATGCTATTGCTCAAAAAATTAATCATATCCGAAGATGAAGTTAAAACTAAGTTGCAAAATACCATGATCAAGTTTTCAATGGTGATGACCTCTTTTGCAGATACCAATCTTCGAACAGTAGCTTCAAGGATTTGGGTTAAGAAATCATTGCTTAAGTAAGATTGAAATTTGTTAATCAATGATAATACAATAGAACCACAATCCATAGCAGCACTATCGGACAAATCCGGCGAAAGGAACTTGGAGACAATTGTTAATAACAAGTCCATTCCAGATTTCTTGGTTTCAGCATCAGTATAGTCTATAAATGATTTTGATGCCTTTTGCAATATATTGTTAAATACCTGACCAGCACTCTGTAATATTTGGTCGTCAGTCGAAACAAGAATCAACTTATTCAAGACTGGAAAAGTAAAATTGAAAATTTCATTAGGAAATTCATTGTTTGCAGGCGATGAATCAATGATTACACTAAGCAATTCTAATGCTAAATCTAAATCAGGTGAATATTCCGCTTTTCCGTTGGAGAGGGAATTCTGAATTATAGTTAAGATAAATGGCAATGACTTCTCGCAGCTTGCCATGTAATCATTAATTGATATATTAGCTAATAAAGCTCTTAAACATTCTGATGAATCGACAGTCAATTGAAGATTGGCAGAGTCTTGAAAAGAAATTTTGAAAATTAATCCTATAACACTAGTTTCATTTGAAACAATAACTCTTGAAGCATATTCGTTACCTAAATCTATTCCAACAGTAATTGCTTCCAATAATGCAGGCAAACTATCTTCTTCACTTTCCTCAACTAATGACAACGTAATTTGGAAAATGGCTAACTGTACTTCTTGAATGGTGGAAACTTCTAATGACTTATCAAAATTTAACAATTGTTTATAGAATGTGCAACTAACTAAGACACTAACTTTGACCAAAGCAAATAAATCATCGTCACTATCATTATAGTCAGAAGTAAATTTGATCATGTCCACAAAAGCCTTAATACCGAAACTATCTACTGATAATTCATCCTCAAATTTCGAAAAAAATTTTGGCAAAAGAAGAAAACATCTAGAAGTGACCAAGTGGTGATTCTGTATAGAATTTTCATATGATATGAATTTTGTTGCAATATTTAATAAGTCTGTTAAAGAAGCATTTTTTCCAAGGTTTGTAGTATCTTCATTCATTAATAAACTTTCGAATAAATACAAGTAACATTCCTTTAATTCCCATTTTGAATTATCGGCTGAAGTCATATACTGAGTAATTAAATTGAACACCAGACTTGCATCTCGATCATTCAATTCAGATAATAACTCATTAACTGACTCACGTACTGTCGCAGTTGAAGATAAGCCAGTTATATCAGTTACGTATATATTGAAATCAGCCTCATACTGTTGTATGGTTTCTTTTGGTAATAATGAACACTCAACTACATCTTGAATAAATTCATGTAAAGCATTCATGTCGTCCGAGATATGAATATCATTTTGCAAAACAGATACCGTCAGCAAAAGCTCTATGATTAAATTTGAAAGTTTATCAGTAGGCAGCGATGAATCCGGGGTTGTCACTATTGCTGAATTATTATCTTCGAACACCACAACACTTCTATAATACTTCGATACATACTTGAAGTCTTTTAATATAAGTCCCATTAAAGTCTGCTTTATGTCTAACTTAATTCTTTTGTTAAAACTTCCCAAAAAGCTATTTAAGGTCTTGTAAATGTACGTTCTGAAATAAATAGCACTTAATATCAACGGATTACCAGCTGTAGAAATCGAAGTTGCAATAGATTTATCCAAAAGAGAGACAAATAAATCCACCGATGAAGTTACATGCTGATAAACTGAATTTTTCCTCTGATCAGTTGTGAATGATTCAGGACTCTGTAACACATTTAAGATGCTTTGGTACAATTTGATACAAGTGGTTTTGATGTCAGATTCAATAGTCTCATTATTTAACAATTTGATAATATGATTAGTTAATTCTCCACCTACGCCGCCATCCCAAAATTGGTCTTCTGAAATTAAGTCATCAAATAAGTCATTTAGGACACTCAAACCACCGATCATTGCATTTCTATTATCGTAGTTTGTTGTCTGGATAAACAATTGATTCAACAAGTCTGGCCACTCATCAGGGTAGTCAGATGCTGCAATTTGGACAATAACATACGAACTTCCCGACCTTAACTTAGAGTTATCAGTTGAAGTTGCCAATTGAATAGAACTTTGTCTTACCACTTGTTTCAATTCTTGGTTGATAGGTGGTCCAATAAATGATTGGAATGCTAATGACCAATACTTAGGAACCATTCTTCGCAAATGCAATAAGCATGATTGCCTAAGATCTATTGGCAATTCTTCATTTAACGACAGCTGATTTAAGATATAAATCACTGAAGATGGATCCTGGTCACACATATGATTGAATTCTATCTCAGCATTCTTCCGGATGTTGTTATCTGGGCTATTCTGGTTAACCACCGAATTTAAAACAACCTGAGAGTGATCCATTATCAAATAAGTCTGAGGGTTACTATATGTGTTAGAACTATTCAAGAAAAGAGTTAGATTGACTTTTAGTGTGTACGCGTTGATGAATTTATCTCATTGCAAATATAGAACAAGTATTAGTGGCGGACTTAAATAATCACAATTTTCTTTCCCAGAAATATATATTTATTTAGATACACAACATGTTTGGTAAATCAACATATCCAGCGTTAGAAGAGCTTCAAGAGCCACTTTCATCTGAACAATTACGGATCTTAAAAGACCAGATGGAATCAGAAGGACAAGATCCAGCTCCACAGTCACAATTCAATTATGCATGGGGCTTGATTAAATCTTCAAACTACAAAATGCAACAGCAAGGTATAAATATATTATCTAAACTATACCGTGATGTGCCGTCAATGAGAAGGGAATGCTTATATTATCTAGCCTTGGGTTCTTTCAAAGTCGGGGATTACAGCAATGCTACAAGATATGCAGATGCACTCTTGAAGAATGAACCCGAAAACAAGCAAGCATTAGATTTGAAGGAATCTATACATGAGAAGGTGACTCAGGAAGGATTGATAGGTATAGGAATCGCTGGAGGCGCTCTTGCTGTTGGAGTTGGTATTCTCGGTGCATTATTGAGAAGAAAGCGTTAGTTTCATTTTTATTAAAGTATCAGATACAAGGGTAATACATATTATATTTAGGAATATATGTGATTGGTAATTCGTACTGTAAAATCCATTTAGATATGGTTCCATATAGAGCTCATCGATTGTGCGAAGCTATGAATGAGAATCGGAGCATGTTAATATTGACTCGCTATTTGGACATATGATGCAAAATGAGGACAATTATGGTATGGAACATTCGCTTCTTGCTGACAGAATATCAAGAGTAGTAGTTGATAAATTCAATCGATTAAATATCAAGTCGGGAAAGCCTACGGTTAGGTCGAACGGTGTTCAAGAATGGACTGTCTTAGCAGGTTTGGTTGCGTTGATATGTACAAATGATAAGCAAGAGCCAGAGATATATCCAATAACCTTGGCTACAGGTGTGAAGGCATTACCTAATAGAGTTAGAGAATTTTCTGAAGGTTCCATGGTCCACGATCTCCATGCTGAAATTTTAGCTATCAGACTCTTTAATTGGTTTTTATTAGATGAATGCGCTAAAGTATCAGAGAAAGATGCTGAATATGTCAGTAAAATAATTGAAAGGAGCCAAAATAATAGATCCCAATTCAAACTTAAAGATAATATTGAACTAGCTTTACTTGTGACAGAACCTCCTTGCGGAGATGCATCAATCAGTTATTTGACAGAGACTTTAGATGATAAAGAGCCTTGGAAGGAAGAAACAAATTCTAGTAAAAGGCAGAAGCTTAATTCAGATGTGGCCGTGACACGAGGACGAACGAACTTCGATAAATTAGGCATCGTGAGAACTAAACCAGGTAGATCTGATAGTGTAATAACATTAAGTAAATCATGCTCAGATAAGCTATGCTTGAAGCAGCTTATAGGAATTACAAATGCCATTACCAGTCTTTTGTTTCCAGGTGGCATATATCTTAACTATTTGGTTTTGCCCAAAAACAAGTTCAAGGAAGAAGATATAAATAGATGTTTCAACCACAGGTTTACTCATAAGCTTGAGGGAGAAAAGGATATTTATCCTTTAAAAGTCATCGGGTACAGTAAAGATGAGTATCCATTCCATAAACCAAAGCAAAATTCTCCAGATGTCCCATCACAACTTTCTTTATTGCATATTATTCCATCAAAATATATTCAAATTCTAAATAATGGTGTTAAGAATGGCGCCTTCGTCAAAAACAAGCGTCCCAAGACACAAGGAGAGAGTATAGTTTGTAACAGACAAGTGTATAAAAAGGCCCAACCTCTTCTTGATCAAGACGTGGCGACCTATACAAACTTGAAAAAAGTAAACACTAGGAGACAGGAATTAAAGATAAAAGGAAGAGAAACCCTTACTAACTGGGTGTCGACTGATGAAGACGATTTTGATTTATTATGATTCCAGGGTTAAAAGTATACTTTATATTATAGATATATAGAAGAATGCAAACATGAATGTCATTAATTTTAGTCTGAGTCAGAAGCTGATCCTTCTTCGTCTTGGCCGCCATTTTGTTCCAATTCGTTTGCTGCTAACTGTTCTTCTTCGGTGAATTCCATTGAAAGCGCATATTCAGCACTTTCCAACAATTCTCTGAGTTTTTGATTATCTTTGTTAACGTAATCAATAGGTTTCAAGTTGTGTTTATCGATAATTCTTGGATCAGACCCAGCATCCAAAAGATTATCGATAATAAAATACCCGTGTTCAGGTTCTTCAATTGTGTACTTAACTGCCAAATGTAACGGGGTGTCACCTTCTCTATTCTTTGGGTCTATTTCAACACCCTCTATATCTAAAACTATGTCTATGAACTCCCAATTACCCAACTGACACGCTAAATGCAACGCGGTATTATTGGTGATTAATTCACGAGTAGAATTAATCAAATTTGATAATTTCTCTTGGTCATTATTCAATTCAACCTTAATCGATAACAACAATTCCGTGTTGTTCCTTCTTGCACATTCTAAAATCTGCTCCGAAAACGATGCTCCTTCAATAGTTGTTTCGTCTGCCATATTGCTCCTGATACACTCTTTTCTTGTATTTTTGATCTATAATGAGCTTTCAATCACTTCTGTTTCTAGTATCCGAGATCACGATGATCGAGGCACGACACTATCTACTATCTACAAGGTAGTCTACTTGGATGATGCTTAGCTTCAAAACCTCATGACTCAGTTCAGTACATACTTCAATGCTCCTATAACATTACAAGCACTAACAAATACCCATATTTAACAGACTAATCGGTTCATAAGGTGAATAATTAAAGGGTATTTGTCTTTTTACGCATAGTTTCATGGAATCAGGTACAGTTTTGAAAGCTCCAAAAAGCCCGTAATTTGGTTGCGTAGTGTGAATTGACTTTATCGATAAGCCATATACTTAAACATGTCTAGTATGGCATTTAGTAATATAAGAGATATTCCAATAAGCTGCAACAAAAAAACATGCGAGGTGCACTATGCTTGATTTTTCATTTGCTAATCTCATTCGCTTTATCAACATTTTATATTTTACCTATACGGAACGTAATCTCTAGATAAGAACGTATTCCAATAAAATATATAGCCATGGTTAAATCTATTATAGCCCCATCGATTTTAGCATCTGATTTCGCTCATTTGGGATGCAATTGTCATCGTATGTATGACTCTGGAGCAGATTGGTTACACATTGACGTTATGGATGGGCACTTTGTTCCAAACATTTCCATGGGACCACCAATCATTGACAGTTTGAGAAAGGAAATTCCAAGATCGGAGACTAAGGCCAGCTTTTTTGATTGTCATATGATGGTGTCTGAGCCGGAAAAGTGGGTTCCGGAAATTGCAAAGGCTGGTGGTGACCAATACACCTTCCACTACGAATCTACCAAGGATCCAGCTGCATTGGTTAAATTAATCAAATCTCATGGTATGAAGGCAGCATGTGCTGTTAAACCAGGAACACCAGTCGACGTGTTATATCCATTGGCCGAAGACTTAGATATGGCGTTAGTCATGACTGTTGAACCTGGTTTCGGAGGCCAGAAGTTCATGCCAGAAATGATGCCTAAAGTGGAATCTTTGAGAAAAAAGTATCCAAATTTGAACATTCAAGTCGATGGTGGTTTGGGACATGACACCATTCCAGCAGCTGCTGAAGCTGGTGCCAACGTGATTGTTGCCGGTACAGCGGTTTTCAAAGCCCAGGATCCAAAAGAAATGATCCAGCTTTTAAGAAATGCTGTCAATAAGAACTTAAAAGCTCGCGGTTTACTTGATGAATGAGACTTTTGTTCCAGTAGATGATAAATAGTGCTCTCCATAACTTTGGACTCAGTTCTTTATTAAATCGTTACGTAACTCTAAACAAATAAATCATAGCAAGATATATTAAACTACTAATGTACAATAAGTGCTAAGCTTAGCCCTTCACGTCTTATCAATCCTCAACTACATTTCTTAAAATGCTTGTACTCCTAATGTGGTACCGTTTCCATCTGTACCAGAGCTGACTTTAAATCCTTCACTGACTCTATCTTCAACAGCAGCCCACAAAACTTCCTTAATTTTGTCTAATTTAGTTTGGCTCTTGGCCTTGGCCTGTTCTTCTTTTTCAGTATCTTCATCGACTTCCATTTTTTCTTGATCTGCTAAAAGATCAATATTCAATTTTTCATTTCTCTTAGCTATGTATTTCTTATTTCTAGCAATCTTTTTTGCTCTTTTATTGGATAAAGTATTATTGGTAACAACCCCTGATGGAGTTGTAGATCCATTGTATAATGCAATAGCTCTAGATTCAGTAGCCTTAGGAACTGCACTAGAATCGGTATCGTAACGAGGAGTAGATGACTTGGTAACAATACCACTTCTAGCACGAGCAGATCTCTTTTTTCCGATAGAAGACGCATGGCTATTACGAAGAATCTTATCCTTGGGCTTATTAATGGAGTTTCTGGATGGCATTTTTGATTTCAATATTCTAATTTATGATCAAATACCAATGTCTAAATTTTTCAGGACGTATTTAAAAAAAAAATTATATCGCATCTCGTTTCGTAAAATGAGAGGAAGGGGAGAAT